TTATACTTTGTTTCTGTTGTCTTTGTAAAGTTATTGTGGTTTTTAGATTTCTTGCACTGTACATACATAGATGTAATGAACAAACTTGAACAAATCTTTCGCCGCGATTTTTTTTTCATAACCTTTGACGATCATTGATTATCAATCCATCAAGCCAGTAAATAATCTGAAAGAAATAAAATCAAAATTTAAAACATAACACTTAAGGTTATAAATAAATATAGGATGGAGTGTTTATAAAAATGACTAAAAGATATATTTTAGTAAGTGCCACCTTATTTTAACGATTTGTAAGTATACAGTATATACCGGTAGTATATAGTATATAGTATAGTATATAGTATATGTAATATAAAATACATATATAGTAGTGTATAGTATATAGTATAAAAAACGGTAAAAACAAATTCCCTTTTTTAGATGTTGCGAGGAAATGCTACGTACTGTATAGGATCGGGCAATATTGAATATATGAATTAATTACATATCTTGCATCTAATACTGCATTAAATGTTGTACTGTGCATTAACAAATTTTCTATATAAGTTGTTAGAGTTTTCCTAATTTTTTGAACAGTTATTTTATATACATAATTTACAGTGTAAAGCAATGAACTATCAATTTTTAAATTTAATTTTTCTTTCGTGCTTACTAGCATTCACTATTTTTATTGATGCTCATCCTGCTTAGCATTGTAGAGATGATAAAGATGATGCTATCAATTGTGAATATTGCTGTAAAACTCCTGGTGAAAGTCCAAAATGAAAAAACTCGTACCATCGTCTCGTGTTTGCACATACAGCTACAAGGGTTGACATTTCCACTGACTGCAATTGTTGTGAAGGATGTGTTAAAAACTCTAATTGCATAGAATGGGCTTATACGAAAAATCTATGTTTTCATTTAGTCAATAGAAAGCCTTTACTCGATATTTGCGATTATCCTACACTAAACAAAACACTTCCTGAAACTACGGAAGCATCTGGAGTTATTCGTTGCAGTGATGGTTGTAATCTATGTCGAACAAAATCATCCTTATAAGCATTTTCTTACAATTAATGGTAGTGTCTAACTAGCTTAACATTACTGCGCCTTTTTGGAATTGGGCCTAAATTAAAAACCCCAAATTACTATTGAATTATCGTGATTATTAATGACGATTACGTGTCAATCACATGACGCAT